CTCTCCTCTTTCACCCTCATTACAAGGTTCTTTAGTTCCTCCTCACTTGTAGGAAAATGATTCTGCTGTAGGCACAACAGGTCTCGGACACTCACTTTCTGCCATCAGAGTGGTATCATCTGAATATCGGAGGTTGTTGATATTTCTTCCAGCAATCTTAATTCTGGCTTGGGATTATATACAGTACCCCCTATTAACAGTTTGTACACTTCATTATACTTCTGTTTTTATGCTTATTAGCTGTTAATTTTATGTTCATATTTGATTTTAATGACTGTAGTTAAACTTATTTTTTAAAGAGGGCCTCATAGCACAGTGGTTAAACTGTAGTACCATAGCCAAAACTCTGCTTATGACTAGGGTTCAATCTCAGGTAACCAACTCAAGATCCTCTCAGCCTTCCATCCTTCTGAGGTCGGTAAACTGAGTACCCAGCTTGTGGGGGGGGGGGCAATGTGTAACCTGCATAATTAAATTGTACAGAGTGCTTTAAGCACTATGAGGTGGTAAATAAGCAGCACGCTTTGCTTTCTTTGCTTTTTTCCTGCTTTTTATGCTTTATTTTTATATGATGTCTGAAGCACTGCCTTCAGTAGTGGAAAAGCAAGGTAGAAATGTAGTAAATAGTAAAATAATGACATGGATGACATCGTAGTCTCAAGTCTTTTCAAGCTCTTGAACTGTAGCCTTTACGTGGTTGTTTGCATCACAGATGTATTTCAAGTTAACTGATGACACTCACTGCAGTGAAAAAATACTGGCTTGTTGTATTCATTACAATGAATGAGTGAAAGTTATTAATTTAACCAGCATACCTTACATAAACATTAAATAAGACACACTAACAAACTAAAAATGCAACCATTTGCTGTATTGTGTTTTTTGGCCGTCTAAATTAGTTCCAGAGTTGTATTCTTGAAAGCTTCCAGAGTTGCTGAAACAGACAAAAGAAAACTAATTGTTCTCTTACTGCTTGTCAGATAAGTAAAATATATGGGTTATATTCAGTGTTACCTCTCTACTAACAAAACAGCATCCACTAGTGAAACAGATTTTCATTTTCTCTGCTGCTGCTCCCAACTTTTGTATAAGAAAATATGGGCCCCTAAAAAGTTGCAGGAAGAGAAGAGTAAATTGAAACTCTGTTCACATAATTTTGACTAGACACATGAAAATTGTAGCATTTTCTCAGTAATTTTTCTTAGCATCATCTGAGTGCTGAGGAAAAGCAGTTTCCCTCTAATATTAATATTACATTGAATGTGGTGTAGGTGGATGGAAGAGCAGGTTAGGATTCAAAAGACATGGCTTCAAATCTCTGCTCAGTAATTGAAATTCCCCGGGGAAATGACAGCAGTAAACTGCTTCTAGAACATCTCACATACCTAGAAAACTGTGTTTAGGTTGCCATAAGTCAGAAATAACTTGATAGCCCATAACAACACCTTCAATAAAGATGTCTGTACCTCATGCAAGAAACGACTAGCAGCTGTGTAGATATTTGTGCTAAACAGTAAAGTGTAGAAATGCTGGATCTATTCTTTGAACATCTGCACATTTGTAGCTATTATTTCACCACATACAGTGTTAGCAGCTGGTAAGCATCACAAGGTGGTCACTGCCAGCTGGCTTCAAGGTGGAAAAAAATCTGCATAATAGGAAGAGGCAGAGAAAAGTGGTAACAGTAAAATGATTCAGACATAGCATAAAACCATGATTGGGAGCAGCCGGAATAAAGATTCAGGGAATCTTGATCTAACACATTCTTTCCTTCCTTTCCCCATTTCATCACCAAATCCTGGGTTTCAGCCTTGTTTTGCAGGACAAAGGCAAAGCATGGCATTCCAGTTCAGAAGAAATGGACTCTAGGTAGTATTAAACCTGAAAAGGAGAAAGGGAATCACTGTGCAAAAGAATTGAACAGGAAGGAGAATGAATACCTAGCCCAAAACTCTGTGGTAGCCAATTCATGGAATATCAAGCCACTGTTCAGCATTGTATTTGAAAATCTCAGTAATATCTGAAATTTTGCAATGCTAGTCTGAAAAGGGTTTTTTCCCCTCATGGGGAAAACAATTACCTGATTTAATCCTAAGAGGGTTCTCTGTGTGTGTTAATGTGATCTATAAAGAAGGAAAGGAAAACAAAAAGCTTCTTTCACAGAAATCTTCAGTTGTGGCTGTCTAGCTTAACTGGAAAATAAGCCAAGACATGCACAGTAAGTGAACTTTCCTGTTTTTCAAGTTCTTTGCTGAAGAACAAAGAGACAGAGCACATTAAAATGATTGTTTTTGTACCCTGACATTCATGCTCAACAGAAGAATATGTGGTTTAACACACTGATCTTCCCCCTTTAATGCTAACATTCATCTGATCATTCACTGTATCTTTTTAGGCATTCACATTAAATTGCAAATCTTGATAGACACAATGGATGGTATTATTTTTCCTGTTTTCCAATAATGATTTAGAAATTAATAGTTTTGAATAGTAAAAGAGTATATCTATGTTAGAATTCTAGCCACCACTGTACTTAAATGTAGGCAGGGACTTCATGTATTTATATATCCTGTAAAAAAATTGAGTTGCTCTGGTTTTGGAGTTGAACAGATAGGATGGCAATTAAATAAATTTAAATAAATAATTTTTTTCTTCTTAGATTCTTGGTAGCATAACGTGCCAGAGGCTCTGCTGAGGTAGCTTGTACAACAAGCTGGGTGATATCTGTACCTCTCTCCAGAATTTTGGAGTATACCCACAATCCAGTCATGAGCTGCCTATGAGCTCTGCATATGGTGCTCAGATTCAGATTGATCATAATAATAAGGTGCTGTGATTCAGGAGAAAATAGAGAAACCACTTAAACAATTGTAGTTACATAAATATTTCATTTAATGTGGACTAGGAAAACAATAATAAAGTGCATGCACACATTCATGATCTCAGAGAAACAATTACCATGGAAATTCTAATTCTGGATTAGACCTGAAGTACATGCAGTAAGGTACTCCTTCTTTAAAAGTACACTGAAGATAACGGAAAAGCAGGAATGTACGTTTCTTTTACTGCTTACCCACATGTGGTCAGGTACTCAAATGTAGAAGGAGAGCATAGAATTCTGAAATATGCTAGCAATGGTGAATACCAGTTTTAAAAGGGAAAAAATACACCCTGCAAGAAGATAGCTAAAATCAGGAGCAAATACTGTATATTTATCCAGCCTGCACCCTGCTGTGTTTGGGGGGGGGTGTGTTTAATTGTGGGCAGTTGTTTTTCCTCTCTGTGTCATAATATTGTATTCTACACCTGGAACCTATTGATATATTTGATTATCTCACCTTGAAATTCTGTAGCCTTATTTCCTTTGGATAGATCTCTTTCTGTGCTAGTGGTTGTCATGCCCTCTGACTATGAAAACCATAACATATATTAAAATAAGTCCTTTATTTTTGTTTTGTTTTCCCTCCCGTTGAACTATTTATTGTCAAATGATTTCATTGAATGAGTCAGTATTTGAGAGAGAGAGAGAGAGAGACAGAGAGAGATTAATTTGTATCCATTTTCTTAACTACCCAGTTTCCCTGAAAATAAGACTTAACCTGCTCATAATATAAGTCCTACCCCAGAAATAAGCCCCAGGTAAGTGAAACCCTGCCCTCCACCATTGTGCAGCATTGTGCAGCAATCAGGTGACATGACTGTACAGTGGTGCCTCGTTTGACTACATTAATTCGTTCCAGCGAAATCGCTGTAGAGCGAAATCGTCGTCAAACGAAATTTAAAAAACCATTGAAACGCATTAAAAACCAGTTAATGTGTTCCAATGGGCGAAATACCTAATCGTCCAGTGAAGATCCTCCATAGGGCAGCCATTTTCCGGTGCCTGTAGAGCGAAAAATCAGTCCCAAAAGTAGCAGGGGGCCATTTTGCACAGCAGCAGCCATTTTGAAACCCGACGATCAGCTGTTGGAAAATTGACGTAAAGCGAAAAATTGGTTCCCAAAGTAGGGAACTGATTGTCGCTAATTGAAAAAACCCCATTCAAACATCATTTTGCGATCGCAAAAGCGATCGCAAAAACATTGTCATGAAGCAGATTCATTGTTAAACGGGGTAATCGTTAAGCGGGGCACCACTGTATTTGAGGAAATGTAGATTGTTGTACATGAAAAAATAAAACATCCCCTGAAAATAAGCTCCAATGCATTTTTGGAGCAAAAATTAATGTAAGACTGTGTCTTATTTTCAGGGAAACATGGTATTGTTATAATTTTATGAAGAATGGCCTTTGGTTGATTTTCTTTTGACCTGTCTTACATGATTATAAAGCTTTTCATCCTGTAAAAACTCAGTGCTTCTCTTGTGCCCACTCCCAACTTAAATCCAAACTGTGTATTGCTTATATTATCCTCATATTTTAATTAATTTTTTTCATGTATAATTGGTAGAAAGATCTTTTAAACAGCTCATTAAACTAATTGTTCTGTATTTGTTGCACATTTTTGCATTAGCCTTTCAAAATTATCTCAAACATGGACTGGAGCTTTTCTGCAGGAGTTTTTCCTTGCTTGTATACCATATTAAACAGTGTTGTCAGCATTGTAATACCATTATTTTCAATGGCTTTTAGAATTCTATCCTTGTTCCTTTTGATCCAGGTGATTTCTGTTTCGTTCTTACTGTTTTTTAAAAACCTGAGACATTGAAATAGGTGATCCTTCATTGTTGTAATGGGTATTATTTATAACATTAGGTCAATTATCAGTAAACATTTCAGCTACATAGAAAAAAGACCAGCACTGGATCTTACCATCATAAATAGCTATCAGCCGTTCTCTGAGCTAGGGCGTAAGCTAACAACTGAAGTCCAAACTGCTTTGGACAAAGCAGTTATCTAGGTCCATTTCTATTTGGGTTTATGCTGGATTTAAGGACTAAATCAGCTTGGATGTGTGTACCTGGAATTATAGAGAGGAAGTGTCTTTTTGTTGATTTTGCTGTGCCTCTTGGTATGTAACACCATGATATCTTGAGAATAGAATAATTCAAGGCACAGTTCTATATCCAGTAATGTCATTATGCTAGAGCAAGAACAATTTTGCTGACATTTGTATGTTTTCATGGTTAGCACAACATTAGTATCCAACCTTTAATAGAAGAGGATGTAGAAATAATTATGCATCCACATGCAACTGCCTGTACACATAGTAAGTAGGATATTCTACCAATTGCCCATCTGATCGTGTATCTGGTTGTGAACTGCTTTTGCCTCTTTTTGTACATTTTAATCTAGTGCAACTCTGCTGGGATGCCTTTTTCCCTTGCTAGAATTACAGTATATTGGATCTATGCCAGCTGTTATTGTCTCTGCCAGCTCTCAGAGGGTGGTTGGTTCCATGACTAAGTAGTGTTCCAAAATGTGACTAACTTCATATATAAAGACTCTGTGGAAATACAAAATGTCCATCCCCAATGTGCTTGCAGTATCAAAATTAAAACCAAACTAAATTAGCATCAAAATGTGATATGTGTAAGTGTACTTTTAGATTCATTGGGGGATGTCGTAACAGCAGAAAAGAAGATATAAAATGCACAATGTTTAATGAAAAAAATAGCTTCAGATTTCAAATACAAATGTTTACCTACAACCTGTAACTTTGCTTCCCTTTACCAGTCCAAGACTTTTGTATAGTCCAACTGTGTATTGCATTATCAACATAGTGGTCAGGAAGTTCTGCTTGGCTGCTGAAGCAGTTTCATGCATTCCATTAAATTTATCTGAATGAATAGGATTCTGTACCACTCTTGGAGTTCTGTACCATTTGTATTTGTGTGAAGTGTTTGAAGATAGATCCCCTTATCAGGAGAAAGGCAGGCTATAAATAAGAAAAAATAGATAAATAAATAAAAACATACAAGATGTGTAAGTTGTGCATTTATTCAAAGGTCATGGTTGGAGCTTATTCTTTCAGTGCCATCAGAGATATAGTGGGCAGTGCCAAGCAAAAGTCATTATAGTTGAGAATTCTATTTATGCCCATGGTTCATCTGGCATCTATTTTTATATTATTTCAACACTTGGAAAAATCTTTTTTGTTCTACCAGCCATTTTCACCTGAGTTTTATTTCCAGTGATCAATTTCTGCTTTGTCATTTTTTTTCTTTATTCTTGTTATTTTATTTCATATATTTTATCATTTTGGTTCTGCTATTGTTGTTTTGTTTCTGTTTGAAGCCACTTTGGCAAATTTTCCTCTGAAAAGTTGAGAGTAAAATAAATAATAATAAAAGTGAATAATATAATTTGGGCCTTAACTGTTTATAGTTTCCCAGGGGCAGAATTGTAGAATTCTAGCTTTCCTTTATCTTTACCTTTACCTTACTAACTGTGATTTTTGTTTTTTGTTTGTTTTGTTTTGTTTATTGAAGGACCCACCTACTTCTGTTTCACTGGGACTGAGAATGGAGGAGATGATTTTCAACTTGGCAGACACACATCTATTCTTTAATGATTTGGAAGTAAGTAATCATTGTTTTAATTTAAGATGGACTTTGTTCGATGTTTTTTGTTCTTTGTAAAGTAAGAAATGTTTCAAAGATTAATTCAGTCAAATGGACAGTGGAAACTGAAAAAAGTGCTGTTCTTCTGATAAAAGAGAGTTCTGTTTTCCTGACTGGATAGTTTTTTGCTCTGACCCTGTTTCCACACATATAGAAAGCTGCCTAGATGTAAAAATATTTGAAATGGACATTACAGATCATTCATCTGTTTGATTGCAACTTTTCCATAAGATTGTGCCAAAGCAATTCACAGCATATCAAAGCAGCAATAAATATAAAAATTTGAACAAATAATGATAAATGCATAATAATTATATCAGCCACTCCAAACAATACAAACAAATTGATCTACTGCATAGAACAGAGTAGGACCTAACATAGAAATAAAACCACATCAACAGAAGATGTAAGGAAAGTGCAGTCCTAGGTCCACATGTGCCCCTCTGCAGTCTGTTTTGTAGTCCCATCCCTCCCTTGCCCCACTGTTTCTCTGTGAGAAACATGACTTGCAGCTCCTGAGATCCATTTCATCTCTTGACATCACAGCATTTCCATGTACTGTTTAATGTTGCCAAATTGCCATTTTTGTTTTGAAAACTGATAGTGAATGTCAAGCTAATATTTCTTTAATTGTATGTCATTTTGGTGATCCTTGTGGTCCCCACAGGGATCCATGATTAGAAAATTCACCCCCAGACCCACCAGTATTGCCTACTTAAATGCCCAGAGAAGCTCTGCTGCAATATTACAATTTATGAGAACAAAGGGGGGGGGGATTACATTCTCTCCACCATTAAATTGTTCCCCGCAAAAGCAGTAGCCCAACTACTGTATGGCTCCCACTTGGGCCTCTTCCCAAATATTGCAACCTTAGAACGTGCACATTCAAAATTCCTGAGGGCAATGTTACGAGTCGCCAGATATGTTGCCAATGTAAAACTAAGACTGGAAGCTGGTCAAATTAAAATCAAAGCCAGGATATGAATTGCAATTTTCATGTACTGGCTCAGACTGTGTTATCTCCCTATTGGTCTTGTACCATTGATCTTGCAAGACACCTTAAAGTCAAAATGGGTTGTTGATTGAGCAAAAAAATAGCCTGCGACACCTTAAAGTCAAAATGGGTTGTTGAGCAAAAAATAGCCTATTTGGGTCTCTCTAGGTTGACTCTGTTAACCATGGGAATGGAATAGGCAAAGAAAATAATGAAGCAGTGTATTGAGGACATAGAGACAAAATGATTTAAGCAGTGCCCCAGAATTCTACCCTAGGGAGGACAATTTATACAAGGTTACAGCAGCACCTTATTTTGCCCAGTTGGAGCAGCCCAGGCATAGAAAGGCGTTTACTCTGGCCCAGCTTAACGCACTACCTTCAGCATGCAAGGGGGATGGTATAAAAAGATCCCCTGGGCAGAGTGTCTTTGCCCATGTGGAATGGAGCAGATAGAAGCAATTGAACATGTCCTGTGGTGGTGCACATTTTACAATGATGTATGTGAAGAGCTTGTTTCCCCTCTGGTTGGCCGATTTCCCGGTTGTACAGAGCAACAATATATGCATGTGCTGCTGTCTGACTCTAATCCCATTTTAACACATAGGGTTGCCAAATTTCTTACTGCTGCAATGGGCATTAGAGAAAGGACCTTAAAAGCGGATGAGCCTCTGTAGTTAGAGCATGGTTTGCTAGAAATTCTGGAATTGCTTTAGGGGAGATGTTTTGATGCTGTTGTTGTTCACCTCAGAACCGAGTATCTGCATTTGATCTCAATAGTTTGTATACCTCTGTATATTTATATATTTCAATGTTTTATTTGTGGCGTAATAAAGTTGTATCTATCTGTCTATTTATCTTGCCTACTCATGACCTGCCAGCTATAAATAGATCTCTGTTCCACAAAAGCAACCTAGGTTCTCTACAATTAACCTGCAGCCGTTGGTTGCCAGCCTTCTTATTGGCCCTTTCCCCATTTATTCTTTTGGTCTTGCTTCACACTCCATCTCCCACCTGAGAAGATAAGGAGTAAATATTTCCACCCTTGCTCCAACTATCTTTCCTACTTTACATTCCTAATATTGACATTACTTCGTCTCTTTCTGCCTGTTACCCTTTCCACCATTGTTTTCATACAGCAGAGGTTTGGTAATTATGATAGTGAGGTGAAACAAGATAGGCAGAACAAGCGGGACAGAGACTAGAGCAACAGTGGTGGGAAACTAGATCCGATCAAACACGGACTGGAAACCCACTATATACAAGGCAGTGTTGGCAGTGGAAAACTATTCTTCTCTGCCACCATGGCATCTGCACAAAGCTGGCCAATGGAGTTTTTTTGGTGGTTAAGGGCCTGTTGCACAGATGACCACAAGAGAAGGATGCTGACTGCTCAAGATTCTGTGAAGATTTTGCATGGCATTTTGCATACAAAGTCACTCTGATCCAATCTGACTTAGGTGCTGTAGTTGAAGCAGCTCTGTTGATGTAACTTTGCCCCTGCTTGTCCCATTACAATGGAAACATTTCATTTGGTGCAGCCCGATGATGTGGACAGGGTCTTTGGAGAGGTGAAAGCCACCACAAGTGTGCTGGACCCCTTGCCCTTCCTGGCTTATAAAGGTAGCTAGAGGGGATCTGGTTGAATTACTTGGAGGAGTAGTGAATGACTTCTTGCGACAAGGCAAGGTACCATGTTGCCCCCATATTATTCAACATTTACATGAAACCACTGAGAGAAGTTGTCTGGAGTTCTGGGGTTTGCTGCCATCAGTATGCTGATTACACCCAACTCCGTCTCCTTTCCATCTGATTCCAAGGAATCTGTTTTGTACTTAAACCAGTTGGGATTACTGCGGTGCACTCTATATGGGGCTGCATTTGAATACTGTTCAAAAACTTCAGTTGGTTCAAAATGCTGAAGCCAGACTGCTGGCTGCCTCTGGTTCGGGGGTGCATTTAATCCCTGATTATAACAGCTTCAATGACTGGCAATCTCTTTCTGAGCCTAATGCAAAGTTTTGGTTATTACCTATAAAGCCCTATATTGTTTGGGTCCAGGCTATTTGAAGGATCCAGTCACCCCATATGAATCTTCTTCACTTTTAAGATCTCTTGGGGAGGTCCTTCTCTTAGTTCCACCAACTTTCCAAGGACCTTTGGCAAGGACAAAAGACTGGACCTTCTCAGTGGTTGGTCCCAGGCTTTGGAATGTGCTGCCCTGAGAAACTAGGTGGGTCCTTTCTCTCTTGTCATTTCAGGCAAAGACCTCATTCTTCAGGCAGGCTCTTAAGCAATAAGTGTCTCAGGAATTTTTGTTGACAGTCAACCCTCGACTTACAAACGGCCCCAGTTACAAACATTTCGACTTACAAACCACTCTGATAGAAAAATACTGACTCGACTTGCAAACTTAGATTCGAGTTACAAACAAAAAACATGCGGGAGGTGGGGAAAGCACGAAATTTGAACTTTCAGTTAACCTTTGGCCAGTGAAGAGGGTGCCTGTCTGCTTCCTCGCTCTTCCCAGCATTTTGAGAGTCGATTTGGAGACAGTCTTCAGACTGCCTGATACTGTGTGGTACAATGCTGTATGGACTGTATTTTTATTTTTTGGCTTTTTAAAAAATTTTGATTTTTGGATTTTTAAAAGGTGTTCCCTCCCTCCTTTGCTGCCCCCTTTCCCCCCAAAAGGTGCGTGTATTGGCTTGTCTTGATTGAAAAGGTGCTTTTCAAGGTGATCTGTTGTCTGAAAGGCGCTTGGTTTTTCCCAGAAGGTGCTTGTCTTGGCTGAAAAGGTGCTTTTCAAGGTGTTCTGTTGAAAAGGTGTTTGTTCCCTCCTTCCCTCCGTCTTTTCTTTGCTTTTTTTAAACCTAAGTCATCTTAGGTTAAAAGGGAAAAAAATAAAAAAAATTTGCCCCTAGTGGTAGGAATGGATGAAGAGGCTTTGCATTAGTTCCTATGGGAACTAATGGTTCCAGTTACAAACCACCCCTCAACCTAAGAACCAAAAACAGCTGGATTAATTGGTTTTCAGTGCATTCCTATGGGAAATGCTGATTCGACTTACGAATTTTTCGACTTACAAACTTCCTTCCAGAACGGATTACATTTGCAAGTCGAGGGTTGACTGTATTAACTTAGAGATATTAAAATGTTTTAAATTTGTTTTTAATCTTACTATATGTTTAATTATTTTTAAAATGATATTTATGTAGTATTTTTAAAACTGTTGTTTGTTTTATAACTTTGAGTTCTTGTTGGCTGCTTTGGGCCCCCAGGAGAAGAAAGGCATCATATAAAAAGGAGAGAGAGAGAAAGAGAGAGAGAAAGGGGGAGAGAGAGAGATAAGAGAGATGGAAGTGCTCAGCCTCAAGCACTCTACTTTTGCAATACAGAAAGTCCCTTCATTCCCTGGAAATGACCATTGAGTGAATTCACAAACTGTGCCAGCCTGGTGTTTCCATATTTATCATAGTTGTCCTGGTGTTTGTGAGAGGCAAAAGGGAAAACAATAACAAATTGAAGTGAGATGGCTGGGCTTACGAAATGGCATGTTGTTCGTAAAATCTGTTGATTGTTACTCTGTTATGAAACCAACTCCAGTGCTTACAACTGGTCTGTAAGTTGGCATAACTATTTGAATGTATTTCTGTTTTATATGTTGTGTGAACATGTGCACACAAACAAATTAGAATTGTTATCAGCTGCTTCTCTTATCTACTGGTTATCATTTTGATCAAAGCACATAGCTTGCAGCAGTACTGTGTGGTCATTTTAGAGGATATTTATTACTAAACTGCCATGTTAATGATTATTTATAAACATAGTTTTCTCCATTACAAACCACAGTAAAAAAGAAACTCTGAAGAAAACCATTAATATTGCATAGGTTGTCCAATGGCTTACTACCGTATGTTTTCTGCCTTCTGCAGAAGTGCATATAGCTTGTCATGTTGTTTTTG